TCTCTTGTAGTGTTCTTTGATGTTATATCTATTTTGTCTGATATTAACATAGCCATTTCAGCTTTCTTTTGAGTAGAATTAGAATTGTTTATCTTTTTCCATCCTTTTACCTATTTCTGTCTTTATGTTTGAATTATGTTTTTTAGGCAGCATTTAGTTGGGTCCTGCTTTTTAACAATATAATAATCTTTGTCTTTTAATTGGGCTTTTTATATCCTTTCCACTTAATGTGGTTATTGATATAGCTGGGTTTAAATTAGTGGTTAGCTGAAACTGATGCCTACCGGCTTGTACCAGCTTGCAAGATCTGATTATGCATATCTCTTCTCATCTTTGCTTTCAGTGACATCATGCTAGTAGATTCAAATTGACCATGGTGGGATTATTTACAACACAAAAATAGACAAATGCTATCAATAAGACCTCCCTCACCCTCCATGAGACTATTAAACATTTACTAGGACACCACTGATTTAAATCTACCATCTTTCTACTCGTTTTCTTTTTGTTCAATATCTTTATTCCTTTTTTCCTCTGTCTTCTTTTCTGTTCATTGAGAATTTTTTATAATTTTATTTTGTCTGTTTTATGAACATATTAACTATGCCTCGGGTGTTTGCTTTTAGTGGTTGCTTTAGGGTTTACATTCATCTTTAACTTATTCACAAACCACCTTTAAGTAATGTTACGACTGTTCACTATAGTATTACATGAACCTTACAAAGTATTTTTTTGTTTACCTCTTCCTAGAGGCACATTTTGCTTCAATACATGTTATAAGCCCTATATCAGCTATTGATTTTGCTTTAAATAGTCAATTATTTTTAAAAGAATTCTTAAAGTAGAAAAAAACCTTATATTTCTCCACATGTTTATAATTTTCAGTGATCTTTATTCCTTTATTATTGATTCCAATTTTCCTCTAGGATTATATTCCTTCTGCCTGAAGATTCTCTTTTAACGTTTCACATAGTGCTGGTCTGCTGGTGATGAATTTTCTCAGTTTTGTATGTTCTAGTAATTCTTTATTTACCTTATTTTTTTCATTTTTTTAACCTTTTTTTTAAAGATGTATTTGCTGAGTACAGAATTCTAGTTTAGCTTCACTCTTTTTTTTTTGGCTTTCATTGTTTTTGATTTAAAATCTGCTGTCATTCTTATTTTTTTTGTTCCTCTATACTTAATGTGTATTTTTCTTTGGTTACTTTTAAGATTTCTTTATCACTGTTTTTTTTTTTTTTTTTTGGGTTCGCGGGCCTCTCACTGTTGTGGCCTCTCCCATTGCAGAGCACAGGCTCTGGACACAGAGCCCCAGCGGCCATGGCTCATGGGCCCAGCCGCTCCGCGGCACGTGGGATCCTCCTGGACCAGGGCACGAACCCGTGACCCCTGCATTGGCAGGCGGACTCTCAACCACTGCGCCACCAGGGAAGCCCTATCTATCACTGGTTTTGAACAATTTTATTATGTTGTACCTTGGTGTAGTTTTATCGTGTTTCTTGTGCTGGGGTTTGTTGAGGTTCTTGGATATATGAGTTATAGTTTTCATCAGATTTGAAAATTTTTCATCCATTATGTCTTCAAATATTTTTTTTCTGACTTTTGTCTCTCTCCATTTTCTCTGTTTCTGGGACTCCAATTACATATCTACTAAACTCCTTGGTTGTTGTTCCATAATTCACTGATTTTGTTCATTTTTTTCTAGCTTTTTTCCTCCTCATATTTTAATTTCCTACTTCTCCAAGTTTACCAATCTATGCTGCATTGTCTAATCTGCTGTTAATTCCACTGAATTTACTTTTCATTTCGGACAATGTATATTTTATCTCTAAAAGTTTCATGTGGGTCATTTTTTTTATATCTTCCCTATTTTTCTTTGTCATGTTCATGCTTTCTTCTACCTTCTTGAACAGATGGAGTATATTATAGTAACTGTTTTAATGTTCCCATCTAATTCTATCAACTATATCATTTGTATTGATTGATTAATCCACTCTTTACAAGTTGTACTTTTCTGTTTCATTGCATGCCTTATAACTTGTGATTGAATGCTAGACATTTAAAATTTTACTTTGTTGGGTGTTGAATTTTTATGTTCTGTTAACTACTTAGGGGTTTGTTCCGGGGTAGGTGTTTTTTAGAAGTGGTTTGATACTTTTGAGATTTGCTTTTAAGCTTCGTTAGGTAGAATCAGAACAGCCTTTATTATTCTAAGACTAAACTGACACTGTTACTCAAGCAGTAACCTCAGGATTCCATTGATGCCCCATATGTTAGGAGATTTTTCCCATTGTGGTTTTGGGAATAAGAGCTATTCCTGTCCCTGTGGGAACACTGGGAATTATTCTGCCTGCTTCTTTCCAGTGATTCTTTCCCTGGTCTCAGTAGTTTCCTCATATTCATGTGTTGATTAGACTCATTGAAAACTCAAGAGGAACTCTCTTCAGATCTTCAGCTCTCTCTCTCTTCTCTCCATTACTCTTCTCTGTGAGTTCTTTCAGAGATCACTATACTAAGCTTTATGTTGTCCATTGTCTGAAAACAGTTGCTTTGTATATTTTGTCCAGGTTTTTAGTTGCTTAAGACAGAAGGGTAAATCTGGTTTCTATAGTGCATCATGACTAGAAGCAGAAGTTGTATATCATTGTTTTCATTCACATTCCTTTTTAACTTAGGTATGAACATTTTCTGTATTTTTAAAATGTTCTTTTTTAGATTTCTTTTGACAGAAAAAAATTTACATCTATGGAAATCCAAACACATAATTATATATACTTATTTTTAAGATTTCTGTGTTCACAGATTCCACAGATCCCATTTATCAGCTCATTTTGTCTTACTCCTTTGGATTATCAAGTTGCTTATCATATCTAACTAAATAATTTTCCTCTTGTAAGCCTATTTTTTTTTTTTTTTTTTTTTTTTTTAGTAAAAGTGAAGTCTACTGTTGAACATCAATGGTACTCTATGTTTAGAAACAATAAATGCTTTACAAACCTTGCCAGATCATTAAAATATCCTCCCCAATTCTTCCTCTTTGGTTTTACCACTCTTTATATCTTTCTTTACATCAGGTCTGCTTTTACTGATTTTGCAACGGCATCATTTAGGGCCCGAGATATTCTTCATTCCAAGCCGAGTTCATAAAATAAACGGATGAGTAAGTTGGGTTGAGCCAGCCCTTTCTGTGCTGGCGCAGGAGAGGACGTGCCTCCAGCAGGTCAGGCGACTCGGGCCAAGGAGGGAACTGTACACCTCTCCAGATCCCGCTCCAGCGCCACCCTGCTGGTCTGGAACAAAGTCACAGAGCCCAGCCGGATCTACAGCACGCTTGGGAAAGAAGTTCCGTTCTTTGATTCATCGCCCGACAAGCATTCCCAGTTCTCTGGATTTGATCCACCTGTGGCCCCATCAGTTGCAGTCACAGGCCTGACTCTCATCCCAGGAGACCTGAGCCACTCCTTGGAAAGGTACCAAGCTCTTGGAAGAAATGCAAAATGGAAGCACAAAAACGCCTTGCAGTTCCATGGAGAAAACACTCATATCACGAGAGATACACCGTTAAGTGCTTGCCATCCATCAACTCACCTCATTTTACCCACCCACAAGCCTCCAAGGGAGGTACCAACACTATTCCTATTTTTTGGAAGAGAACACTGAGGTTTAAAATGAAATTAACAAAGCTCTGCCTAAGATGACATGCCAAGTAATGAAACAGTAAAGACTAATACCCTGGGCTGTGACTTTACCTGCCTTTCTTTCACTGTAAGAGATCATATAAATTGGCATCACATTACAAGGGAACAGCGATGGTTTTCAAGTGGAAACTGCTTTATTTAAAGGGATGGTTTTTTGGGGGGTTTTGGGTTTTTTGCGGTACGCGGGCCTCTCACTGCTGTGGCCTCTCCCGTTGCGGAGCACAGGCTCCGGACGCACAGGCTCAGCGGCCATGGCTCACGGGCCCAGCCGCTCCGCGGCATGTGGGATCTTCCCGGACCGGGGCACGAACCCGCGTCCCCTGCATCGGCAGACGGACTCTCAACCACTGCGCCACCAGGGAAGCCCCTATTTTTTCTTAATCTTAGTTTTTTCATAGCATTCCCTTTAGAACCCCTTTGTGCACCAAAAAAATCTTGATTTATTTCATTCAACAATTATTTATGGAATGTTTATTATGTAACAGGCCATATGCTAGGCATTGGATACACATACAGAAGTATGTGAAGCAGAGTTCCTGCCCTCAGTGTGTTCATAGTCTAGTAGGTAAACTGGTAAGAAACAGTTAGCTTTCCCTTTGTAGAATGTTTGCAGTAGGAACTGTGTTTTTCTATTCTAGAACCATGGAAACAGAGGTGATTGCACTCTGAGTATCACTTTATCCTAACCCTAATTCACTCTTTTTCTCAAATACCCAAGCCTGCTCCTGCCTTTGAGTCTTTATTCTTGCTGTTCCTTCTGCCTTGAATGCTCCTCTCCCAAAGGTGTCCAAATGACTTGCTCCTACTCCTTCACATCCCTGCTCAAATGTCATTTTGTCAATGTGACCTCCCTTGACTATTTTCTATAAAGTAGCACTTCCCACTTTCAATCTTTATCCCTATACTTGAATTTATTCATTATAGCATTACTATTTACATTTTAATTAATTTTCATCCCCATTACTTTCTGTCCCCTCCTCCCTCAAATGTAAATGCCAGATGAGCAGGGACTTTATCTGTTTTGTTCACTGTTTTATCCCCAGCACCTTGAGTAGTTATTTGCACATATGGATTCTTTATACATGTTTCTTGAAAGGATTAATACCTCTTTGGTCACTTGATTATTTTTCCTTCCCATGTTTCCCTGCAAAGCGTTTTCTGACTGATTTTATTCACATTGTCCATTTTTGGCTTACTCTACACTTCAAATAAGTAAATGTCTTAGTAACGCTGTAATAGTTAAAAGAGACACCTATCATCATGTCAAGTACTTATTAAATTTTGTTTTTTCCCCTCTCTTAGTTTTCAAACAGGACCAATCCAATTGATAAACATCTCGAAGTCCTGATCAACAAGTATGGATTGTCAGCCCACCCAGTTGCTTCTCAGATGTTTGGGTTTGCTGGAAAAGAGCACATGGAAAAATATGGTATGTTAAAAAACTTTAAGTCTTATTGGTAGTTATATACACGTGAGAAACAATAGGTATTTATTAAGAAACTGTGGGGGATGCCAAGATGTATAAAATGTGAAATGGTTTTTCAATTAAGTTGAAGAAATAGTCTGTATAGAATTCAGTTTTCTAAAAGTATTTATACTTAGGACATCATTTGAGAAGTACCTAGAATGCTCCAAAAGAAGACATTGAAATAGGAAAAGTAACATAAATCTTGTCTCCTTTAATCATAGACTATAAATTGAGGCTCATTAGTTCTGAATATGGTAATTGAGACTTAAAGCTAGCCCTTGGTAATAGATTTATGTAGCCAAATTTTATTCTCAGTATTTGAATCCATCAGGAGTCCATCATCATCTGTCAGTCCATAGTGTTTTATGAGATTTAAATTTCACAGTTGATTTTTATTTTGTAGGTAAACATCCTAGCTTTTTGACTGATGATCAGTGATTGGCCTGCCTTAGCCAGTTAGATAAAGCATGGGACAGTGCAGATAGAGTTTTTGATTTTGTTTTTGTTTTTGTTTTTATTGTATGACCCTGAACCAGTGCCTTGTTGTGTACTGTGAGATAAGAAAGAAAATAGTTGTGCTTGAAAGTTCAGCATTCCTATTCTTTGCAGGAAATATATCCCAGGTTTGTTAGTCAAGATCAAGTAATCAGAAAGGAAAGAAATCTTCAAGGAAGAATGGTAGGATGGTATAGAGGAGCACTGCCAGTTTGGGGCCATGGAAATTTTCTTTCTTGTAGCTATTTCTTACCATTTTAAACTCAGTCCATTCCAATCTGGCTTCCCTCCTTTCTCAAGGCTACCACTGATCACTATGTTGCCATATCAAGTAAATGCTTTTCAATCCTATTTTAATAGACCTCAGCACCATTAGTCCCTTTTGATCACTTCTTTCTTAAAACATTCTCTTCTCTTGGCCTCTGTGACATCTCGTTCTGGTTTTCCTTACCTCTTTGGCTATTGCTTGTCCATTTCCTTTTTAATTTTTTTGAATGATTTTTTAATAATTTATTTATTTATTTATATTTTAAATTTTTGGCTGTGTTGGGTCTTTGTTGCTTTGCATGGGCTTTCTCTAGTTGCGGCGAACAGGGGCTACTCTTTGTTGTGGTGCAGGGGCTTCTCATTGTGGTGGCTTCTTTTGCTGAGGAGCACGGGCTCTAGGTGCATGGGCTTCAGTAGTTGTGGCTCGTGGGCTCTAGAGCGCAGGCTCAGTAGCTGTGGCGCACAGGCTTATTTGCTCCGTGGCATGTGGGATGTTCCCAGACCAGGGCTGGAACCTGTGTCTCCTGCATTGGCAGGTGGATTCTTAACCACTGCACCACGAGGAAAGTCCCTCCATTTCCTTTTGAATTAAATAATTCATTTAAAATATTGAGCTATTATTATATTGCAGGCACTATTCTAGGCACTGGAATATAGCAGTATATCAGTTAGCTATTGCTGTGTAATAAACCACTCCAAAACTCAGCAATTTTAAACAATGATTATTTATTATTATAGCTTACAAGTTTGTAGATTGACTGGGAATCAGCTGATCTAAGTCATGCTCAGCTCTTTTTGTCTGGGTTGATCATATGACTGTAGGTTGGTTGGAGGCTCTGTTTTAGTACTGCTTGGCTGGGTCATATGTCCCTCATTTTCCTCTTGGGACCAGAGGGCCAGCTCTGGGATGTCCTTTTCATGGTCACAGCAGAAGCACAAGAGAGTAATCTGCAACATGCGAGGCCTTTTGAGACTTGACCAAAGCAAGTCACATGGCAAACTTGGAATCAAGGGATAGGGTAATATGCTCTACTTCTTTTGTGGTAGGAAACTTCAAAGTCAGACCATAAAGGATATTCAGGAGGGAAAAAGAATTAGGGACATCAGTGCATTCATTCACAAGCAACAAATAAGCAAATGAAATGTGAGGGTTTTGCTTAAATTTCTAGTCGAGGAGAGACAGTAGCATATGAAAAAAACTACGATAATTTCAAACAATTATTAGTCCTGTGAAGAAAATAAAACAAGGTAAGGCACTTATGGGGAGAGGGAGGCAAACTTAGGATAGTCGGTGATGAACTCTATACTTTTATATCCAGTTGGCATCTTCGCATCTCTGCTTGTGTATGTAACAGATGTCTCAAATTTCACACGTTCAGATGCAAACTCTTCATTCTGTTCCCCCATATCTTAAATTTGCTCCTCCTCTACTTTTCCTCATCTCAGTAAGTGGCATTTCCATCCATTCAGATGTTCAAAGCAAAAACATGAGTCATCTTTGACACTTCTCCCCACTCTTCCCCTACTCCAGTCCCTCACTATGTCCTATCAGTTCTACCTTCAAACTCCAAATTATGTTTTTTTTCCCCCCAGTTTCTTTTACTATCACAGCTCTTATCCCAGACCATAATTTTTCAAACTTTGATCTGTGACCTGCTAGGAAATTAAAGAATCAAAGTAGTGATTGAACCCAGCATTTTTAAAAAATATGACATTTGTTGTTGTTGTGTATTATAACTCGTCAGAGAAATGCACACAACATAAATATACAGCTTCATGAATTCTCACAAAGCTCATAACTGTGACCTAAATTACCTCCCAGGTCAAAAATAGAATGCTAACACTTAAGAATCCTCTCTGTAGATAATTTTTATCTTAAGAACTTTGTGGGTCTCCTGTGAATCTTGTTTGGTCATGCCATTAGTCAACAAGCTACACCTGCAAATCTCTCTGGGCTAAGTGCCTTTCTACCTTGGGTCCTTTCTGAGATGGCTGAGGAGCAGCATTCTTAAGCTTCCTAGCAGCCCTTTGATTGAGAGGATTTGTGAGGCACAGGTTTTTTCTCTTTAGAGGGCTTTTTTCTCTCTGAACAATATTCTGAGGCATCACCTTTGATCTTTCTGAGGTCTTAACAAAAGATTTGTCACAACATGGGCTTCAGTTTTGGACCATGTTTTCCTGGCAATGCCCTGGACTTGATCTTTGCTCAAAGACTATTTTTTTTTTTTTTAACATCTTTATTCGAGTGTAATTGCTTTACAATGGTGTGTTAGTTTCTGCTTTATAACAAAGTGAATCCGCTATACATATACATATATCCCCATATCCCCTCCCTCTTGCGTCTCCCTCCCACCCTCCCTATCCCACCCCTCTAGGTGGTCACAAAGCACCTAGCTGATCTCCCTGTGCTATGCAGCTGCTTCCTGCTAGCTATCTGTTTTACATTTGGTAGTGTATATATGTCCATGCCACTCTCTCACTTTGTCCCAGCTTACCCTTCCCCCTCCCCGAATCCTCAAGTCCATTCTCTAGTAAGTCTGCGTCTTTATTCCCGTCAAAGACTATTTCTTAATTTTAGCATCTTTTACCACTTTGAAAGGCTGAGAATTTTCAAAACTATTAAGTCCTGAATCCTTCTTGTTTAATAGTCCTTTCTGCAATATAGCATTACAGAAGAAACCATGTGGCAGTTTCAATATTTTGCTTATTAGCTAGTTTCTACATAACTGCAAGTTATATGTCCAGCCACTCTCTCACTTTGTCCCAGCTTACCCTTCCCCCTCCCCGAATCCTCAAGTCCATTCTCTAGTAAGTCTGCGTCTTTATTCCCGTCAAAGACTATTTCTTAATTTTAGCATCTTTTACCACTTTGAAAGGCTGAGAATTTTCAAAACTATTAAGTCCTGAATCCTTCTTGTTTAATAGTCCTTTCTGCAATATAGCATTACAGAAGAAACCATGTGGCAGTTTCAATATTTTGCTTATTAGCTAGTTTCTACATAACTGCAAGTAATAGTATTACTGTAATCTCTGCTTCTATTTTAACAGGGCTCTCCTTTCCTCCAGTTTTCAGTAAGATTTTGTCCTTTTGCAAACTCTCACCTGCAGCATCCTCAAAGGACTTTGAGGCTACTACTAATGGTTTCTTCAACGCACTTTACGCTTTTGCTAGCAATTGTTCCAAACTTTGGAACTAGAATGGTTCCATAGCCATTCACATATCTTATATTTTTGTTCAGTGTAACTCCATTTCCACTATATTAGTTTGCTTGGGCTGACATAGCAAATACCATAGACTGGGTGGCTCAAAGAGCATAAATTTATTTCTCATAGTTCTAGAGGCTGGGAAGTCTAAAAGCAAGATGCACGATAGGTTTTATACTGATACTGGTTTTATACTGATGCACGATAGGTTTTATAGGTTTTTTCTTGGGTTATAGGTGACTGCCATCTCACTGTGTATTCACATGACCTCTTCTTTTATGTGGGTGCAGAGAGAGAGGGAGAGATAAACATCTTTGTCTTCCACTTTTTGTAAGGATTCTTATAAGGACACTAATCCTATCAGGAGGCACTCACCCTCATGACCTCATCTACCATAATTAACTCCCAAAAGACCCATCTCCAAAAACCATCACATTGAGTGATAGGACTTCAATAAATGAATTTTCTTTTTTTTTTTAATAAATTTATTTATCTTTGGTTGCGTTGGGTCTTCGTTGCTGAGCGTGGGCTTTCTCTAGTTGTAGTGAGCGGGGGCTACTCTTTGTTGCGGTGCATGGACTTCTCATTGCTGTGGCTTCTCTTGTTGTGGAGCGCGGGCTCTAGGCACACAGACTTCAGTAGTTGTGGCTTACGGGCTCTAGAGTGCAGGCTCAGTAGTTGTGGTGCATGGGCTTAGTCGCTCTGCGGCATGTGGGATCTTCCTGGACCAGGGCTCGAATCTGTGTCCCCTGCATTGGCAGGTGGATTCTTAACCACTGCGCCACCAGGGAAGTCCAACAAATGAATTTTGAGGGGACACAATTCAGTCCATGGCATTCAGGTACCAAAATATGTATCAGTATTTTCTCTTGCTTTGTTACAGTGAGACTCTCTTTTTAAAAATCATTTCTTGTTTTAATTCCTTTTGTCTAGTCTTCCTATGTGTAAGCTCACTGGCCTTTCAGTGTGTTCAGTAAGCCAAACTTATTTCCCTG